GTCTGGGTGGGCCCAGGCGGCGGCAAGAGCGAAGCACGCCTTTCGAACTAATTCAAGCAGCCGGCGTCGGGCACCCTCGTACCCTCGGGCCTCGTGCGTGTATGTACAAATATGTGCGTCGGCGCCGTCATCCAATGATGGCATCACAACACTCACTACTTAGTACTCGGTGCAACTTACCTCAGTCCTCAGCTGAAGCCTACCTGTCTTCAACAGATCATGATAGTTTCGGAATAAACCATCCCCTTCTCCTGTTTTTCCTCTGGTTGTTGTTCCTTGAGCTTTTATCAGCACCCTTTCCCTGTCCCGCTCCCGCATCTCGACACCATGGGCTCGATATACCCGAGCACATTCAATGTCAAGCGCATCGCGATCATCGGCGCTGGTCCCTGTGGACTGGCCGCAGCAAAATACCTCCGAGCTCAAGGCACATACGACCGAATAGTGGTCTTTGAGCAACAGGCAGAGGTCGGTGGTGTCTGGAACTACGACACCGTTGTGCCAGCTCCGAATCCTATTCCCCAGACAAGCCCATTCTTCCCTCCAGATGAACCAGCCCGTGTGCCGCATGAAAAGTTCCCAATATTTCCATCGCCCATGTACAGCAAGCTGCATGCCAATATCCCCAAATCCCTCATGATGTTCTCGGATTTGGAGTTTCCACAAGAGTCTTGGATATATCCCAGCCGTCACGATATACAGCACTACCTGGTGAGATACGCTCAGGATGTGCGAGACCTGATCAAGTTTTGCTTTCAGGTAGAACGCGTCCTTCTGCAGCCTGAGAATGGCCAAGATAAATGGCAGGTGACGGCTCAGTCAACCGTCGATGGGCAAGTTGTCCAAGAGGTGTTTGACGCTGTCGTCGTGGCCAATGGACACTACTCTACTCCCTTCGTCCCGGATATCAAGAATATAAGGGACTTTCATCGGGCGCATCCCTCAATCATCATTCACTCCAAGAACTATCATTCTGTGGATACATTTAGAGATAAAAAGACGGTCATTGTTGGCAACGGGCCGTCGGGGTTAGACATTGCCTACCAAATCAACAGCGTGTCCAAGGGGCAAACCATTCTGTCAGTTAGACACGAGACACCGCCGGGAAAGCTGCAGCACACTGGCTGTCGGGAGATTGCCGAGATCGACGAGTTTCTGGTTGACGAGAAGGGCGTGAGACTCAAGGACGGGCGCGTGGAGACGGATATTGACGCCATCATCTTCTGCACGGGATTCCGATACAGTCTCCCGTTCCTCAACAACCTTGAAAAGGATCTCATCACAAATGGCTCAAGCATACATGGCTTATACAAACACATATTCTGCATTCAACACCCTACCATTGTTTTTTCCGCGCTGAATATGCGCATCGTCCCATTTCCGGTCTCGGAAGCCCAGGCGGCGGTATTTTCAGCCATATGGTCCAACCACCTGCCGCTGCCGCCCAAGCCCGAAATGCTGAGGTGGAACAAAGAGGCAGAGAAGGCTGGCGACAGGCTGCATATCATGCCCGATGGCCAAGATGGCGTCTACTTGAACGAGCTGCATGACTACGCTATGACTGCCTCAAAACTGGGCAAGGAGCCGCCGCGGTGGGGGCGTGAGCAATTTTGGATTCGAAGTATTTTCTTGGAAGCAAAAAGGGCATTCGAGGACCAGGGCTGCAGGGCCACGACTTTGGAAGAGCTGGGGTTCAAATTCACCCCAGAGAGGGACGAGACGGGTGCCAAGCCATGAGGGACGAAGACGACATAATTGGAGGCGTAATCACGTACACCATTCAGCGGCTGGTCCTTTTTTCCACGTTATGAGTGAGATGCAAGATGTGTTGGCTTGGCGGACACAGCTTGCTTTCTGTCCCACCAGAGTAATTGCTGGACAAGACCGGCAGGCAGCATCAGCAATTCTCGTGGCTGTGGCTGGTCAGTTTCACCCCGTGCGTTGATCCCGTCAGCCAACCCAACCAACACGCCGATGGACAATGCATTAGGCATCCCAAAGGCGATCCATGTCGATTGTACCAGGGGGTATGACCCGTTGATTCTTAAAACCTTGAAAAATCGTCACTCGTCAAACATTCCTTGGTCCAACCACTTGTCAAGCTCCCACGCTCTCTACACAGCCGTTTTCGCCAGACTCATCCTACCTAATGGAGTCACCAACCACACATCAGCCACAGGTCTCGGGGATCACAGACTTGGAACGAAAGTTGATATGGTGGCTCTGCTTTACTCTCCGACTATTCCTCCAGATGGTAATTCGAAACGCACTTATTCCAAGACGATGGCTAGGAACCGGTATGCTTCCCAACTTGGTCTACTCGTCAATTGCCACATGGCCAGTGGTCTATCTGCAAGAAACCCTATCCGGCGAGCCAGCCCTCAAGCCGCCGAAAAGTCTTATATTATATGCCCTGCCTCCCGTTCTCGTTGTGGCCGCGTTTGGGGACTGTGAAGAGGATGCATGTTGGCCGGGCTATCTGGGGGCACCAAACGGCTATTGATCCCGCAGGCTTCCATCATGCGTTCCAGACGGCATTGGAAACGTAGCCGAACCGTCGATCCGTGGGGTTCCTTCGAATTGGCCTTCCAGGTCGCTTTGTTGAGGCACGGAGGCGGGTTCGCCATCCGATGAAGGCCATAGAGCCTAAGCTTGGGGTTTTGCACTATTAGAAACTTTTCTTTGCGAACTAGAAGGTCATTTGAAAGCCGTTGATTTCACCAGAACGCTCCTTCAGCTAGACTTGTTTATTTGCATGAATGCGAGGGTCGAGGGTCCTCGAAGCAGGACGCATCATGTTAGCAACGCGAGTCGATCCACCTCGTACGCCACCAACACTATCGGGATGGTCGCTCAATAGAACAATAGCAACAATCAGACACAATCATGTCATAGTATTGAAGTCCTTGCTTAATCGCTCTATTCCTCAAATCCGCCAACGCATTTCGTCTTGTCTTGTTTCGTCGAGTAAAACGGACCCCGCGTACTCTTGAATCAGTTGCGCAGACGTCATCTACGTATATCCGACACGTGTCTCTCTGAATGCGTCAAATTACACAAGCTATGGCGTTGTGCTTCTCCTGCACGACAGGACTCTTTGTGTCAAGCTCAGACTCATGGCAGTAAGTCGCATTTATTGTCGTCGGCAACGCAGCAGGCACGGTGCTCGTCTGTGTCCGGGCCGATGTCCCATGCCATATCAAATCGCCGGATTCATACCTCCTAGTCAAGCGTAGTAAAACAGGACCAGTCTCTATACACGTTGTCGTGGTGCGCAGTATTGAAAAGCGGCGCTATTGGGCAATCACCCAATAATACTACTGCATCACTCGTCGGTTCCTCCGCTCATGGGAGGCATCATACCTACGCCTGGACAGATAGCAGATAGCCTTTACAGCTTATATAGTACGATACGAAATGTCCTTCTAGTTATTTTGCTGCCTGGTGCATGGTGTGATGCCGTAAACGCCTCCGCAATGTCTAACTTGACGTGAAATATTCATCTGCCAGTTAACAAATTTCTTTTCTCTAGAGATATTGATATCAGTTTATGTGCCAAGGCACAAATTCCACTATATCCGTTGTCTGTTTTTCAAGATGCGTCAAATGCAGCTCCGCCACTGGATATAAGCTACCATTACCGAGACAAGTGTCCTTCTTCCGTTCTATCATTCTACATCTTGGTTCAGAAGAAAATTGGAGGAACTCAGCAGGAGAGTTGTCACATGTTCCCAAAAGTATCAACCGACTTCTTCATAACAACGAGCACCTACAATTCTTCGAAACCTAGCGCTTCCTTGGCGGTACCTCGGCACAGATGACGACTGCCCATGCTGAAATCTTAAACAGACCGCCTAACGGAGAAGATATCGCCGCCGGATATACTTTCGGCACGACTCCAACCATCTCGCCTACTGGTTGTCGGCACAGCGCGGTATACGAGTACGCCGTACGTCCCTTTCACTGTAAGAATGGCCATTCTCAGCTATGCCTCCACGAATGGTTTCTCCAGGCGATTAAGCTAGCCATTGGTATCTGGCATCCGGATAGAAATCCCAATATCTTCTAGGGTAGGTTTGCTAAAAATTTGTGTCAAGGCCGCAGAACCAAGCTGGCACGTCAGGTCCTAGTCTCTAAGAACATTCGCATCCTCAGGGCGAGTGGAAGGAAGAGCTTCGCCGGCTGTCAGACACCAGGCTGAGCCACATGGCTAGATAACTTGCGTGGCATATTCTTCAAGTCCTATCGCATTAAGCGAGACCCGAGTTCGAGCCACGCCCTCGCAGACGGAGCAATACTTGGAGTCTTGGACTTTTCCCAGGAGCCGTCTGATAGTTGTGTATTTGGAGCTGCAAAGATCGTGAGTAAGATGGCACGGGGATGTGTGAGGTTTGATTTTACTACGGATCCCGAAGAGGGGATTGGAGTAAGGAAAAGATGGCTTTTCAAGACAATGGCCGGGTGTTGCGTGCTCAGGAACGCGGCTGTGTTTACGGCTTGGCGTGGGCGACACGGCCGACGTTGGCGATGTGCCACAGATGAGGGCATCCATATCATCAGGGGTGTCATCGGGGATGCTACGGCGGCAGTGAAGGTCCAGGTCGGAGATGGGCTTAAAACGTTCTGTTGAAAACTACATCTCATCACGGCAACAATCGTGGCACGTACAAATCTGTACCCATCGAGAGGAACATGCATCACTCAACTTGGGACACGGACGGATAACGAAACAGGTGTCTCTTATGACTACATATCGACAGCCATGGCAGGCAAGTCGCCCGTGACTACTCAAAGACATTCACTTCATTGGCAGGAACGCATATAAAGTCAATCATCTCATTTCATTCAAGAGCCGACGTTCCGGAAGCCATTACGCCTCGACATAAGTACCAAAAGCCATTAAAAAGACCAACCCCCCGTTTCATTCCCTTCTGTCCCGCTGCACACCCAGTAAGGACAGCTCTTCATTTCTTCTTCACCCCGCACTCAGAAGCAGCCAGTTACTGCTTCTTCTGAGACTCCTTTGCAAACACGGAGGCGTACGGGTTCAGACGCAGCATAACCTGCTTGTTGCGCAGCGGGTTCTTCTTCTGCACGGCGGAGCGGCGGGTGACGGCCTCGCCCTTGGGGGCGTTGAGGGAGCTCTGGATCTCAGAAGAGTTGATGAGACGGGTGAGGTCGGCCTGGGAGACGACGTTGGAGGGCAGGAAGAAGTCGCGCTTGTGGGCGGAGGCCTCGGTGGTGGAGCCGTAGATGTCGTCGAGGGCCTTGAAGGCGGACGAGGTCCAGACAATGAAGCGGCCCAGGTGGCCGCCGGGGGCGAGCTGGAGGAGGTTGAGGGCCGAGACGGGCGAGGTCTCGACGCCGGGGATGTTGCGGAAGGCCTTGACGAGCTCCTTGCCGTCCACCTCGGGGTTGTAGACGACGAGGGGCCCGCGGCGCTGGCGGTGGCGGCGGCCACGGAGCTTGCCCTTGCCGGCGCGCAGCTTCTTGGAGTTCTTGGCCTTTTCGAGGTCAGGGCCGGCGCCGACGGCCTTGAGGAGGGCCAGGGCAGGGGCGGTGCGGGAGACGGCCGCGGAGTCGAAGACGGCGCTGTCGATGACGAGGGGCACCTCGGCGACAGTCATGATTTCGTGACCACGGGCCATCAGGAGAGGGGCGGCGGCCGAGGCGGCCAGGGCCGAGCAGGTAGCGTAGCGCCTGGAATGAGAGATGTTTGGTTAGTCGCGGAAACAATCATTGCGTGTGCGGTGGCAGGAAAACGTACTTCTGGCCCTGGTTGATCTTGACATGCCACTTGCGCCAGATCTTGGTAGGGGCAAACATGCGGCCGGATCGGCACATGTTACCAAAGGCAGCCTGACCGGCACGGTGAGTACCACCACCAGAGACACGGGGGATACGAGCAACAGCACGTCCTATGACAAGTTAGTAATCCTTGTTTCCGGCGAAAACGACAATCACGGGGAAATCCACGTCTTCAAAGGAGCAGGCTCAATCCCATCTGTCTGTTTCAGACCAACCCGGAAACCAGATTTTTTTTCTCACTTCCGAGTAAAAGGCCATCGACATCCAGACAGGAAAAATGCCCACCTCGCTGCAATTTCAAAAATTTCCATGAAGCACATACCAGTTCCCCAGGACTCAGCAGAAGTCTGGTGACCAGCCTTCTCGCTCACAGCATACGGCTGGCGCTTGTTCTTGGCCATGCCGGTGTGAACTCGCTGCACGATATCCGGTCGGATAGGGCTGGTGAAGACGGCAGGGACGGGGTGGGTGGCTCCCGTGGGAGCACCATCTTTGCCGATGATAGAGACGGTAGGTCGCGAAGCCATTGTGACGGTTTGGGGGGGACTTGGACCTGTGAATAGTAAAACAGAGTTAGGACACCAAATATCGGCTTGCGGTCGCAGTCGGAAAGACAGTCAAGTCAGTCTTACCTTGGTCGTCGGGCGGCGTGAAATTTGGTGGATGGAGGAGGGTGCAACTGGAGTGGGCTCACGATAATTTCACCAGAGCGAATTTTTGCCCTAGGTAAATTTTGGTGGGCGGGCCCTAAAAATCAACTTCTTAAGCGAGGGACGAGTTCTTGCTTCTCATTGGCCACATCCCGCCTCCCAATCACACCCAAGACAATCCACTCCGTATACAGTATATTTATGTCAAGTCACTGTGCAACTTCCACAGTTCTTCCCTTGCTCAACCCCACTCGGGTGCATGCCCATCTGATCACATCGACTGAGAGCAGGGTGCAACTTCGTTGGTCAAGATGTTCGTATATCCCGAAAACTAGCTGCCATTATTATGCCATCATATCATCATAATATCGTAATGTATGCTATATCATCATCAGGTTTATCAGATAATTCGCATATATGTAAACCCAACAACATGTTCCTTATTCCTTATTCTGCTTCTACTCCCATCGCTTCCATTCCTCAACAAGCTTCTCTACTTGTTCTTCCTTCCACGAAGCCTTCACATTAGCTCGGTCTAGTTTAACTAACCTCTCGTAAATATCCTTTTCTATACGTCGTCGTTGAACCACCTTTTCCTCCAAGTAATTGGGATCATTCCTGCGGCAAGATCGTCTAAAAATGTCCCTCATTCGAGTCGAGTAGAGTTGGCATGTAGCCGAAGGCAACCTTTGTGCCTTCATATAAAAGTTTCGTGCAACGACGTTTCCGTCTCCCAGTTTCGGTTTCACAACGTCATAGAAGCAGTTGCCGCACACGGTAAACTGGGGCAGAAACTGCATCGTATGCCAATATCCATCCATCACAGGACTGTCCTCACGGCACTTGGAACCCACAGTCAAGTGCCACAGATCTCGCGCCAAATCATCCACATTCGGTGGTTGTTTAGCCTCAAGGGCCTTATCAGAAGTGGTTTCCAAGGCATCAAAAAACAAAACAAATTGTTTCCGTTGCGGCGTAAAGTGTAGAGAGCACACATCCTGCTTTGGTCTGGCGTCAATTGGTACAAAGACGCCAGTCAGATTTGGCAGTAACAACTCAACTGATCGCGCACATTGATAACAGACAGAGAAGTCAGTAACTGGTTGTCGTGTATGAGGATCCTTAACAGTAAGCCAAGTCCGGGTCGCTTTTTTGGTACCAGGACATGGCTCTCGGTTGGGAGCGGAATTAATGGTAGCAAGTTGCTGCAATAGCCGCATATCGGGAATATCGTCCTTCACAGTCAACAACCATGCTATTCTATACCAAGGTGAGACCCCAAAATCGCACGCAATTGGTTCATCGGATGGTCGAAGTATTGGCTTGAAAAATGTTCGATATTCCGTTGTAGAAAACACCGAGCCGTAGCATGTAGGACATATGTTGAAGTTGGTATGGGGAAGAGTGAGCCAATCTACCATGCCTGCAACAGGTTTCTGGCGTGGGCATTCGGGCAGGCTATCGCTTGTGTCGTTCCCATGGCTTTCAGAATACCGTCTGTAGGCGCCGACTGGTCTTTCAGCTTGAACTCCCTCCTTCTCAGGATTAAAAACCGGCGGCTGCCAAGCCGGCGGCATTGCTGCAGCTGTCGACGGCGTTGTTGGAGTATCATAATTTGAGTCAAAGGAGCGTCCTGTGGTAGTTGCAACTATTGGCGGTGGCTCAGGCATAGACACAGATCCCGTGTCAGCAAACTTTGGGTGTCTTGCGTCCAAATTACTGTCTTGTATGCCAAGGCCAACATCGGGTGGAAGATCGTCCTCGGGATATGGGAGCAGAGTGTTGGAGGCTCTTGTTGTGCCAGTGTTGGTTCGAGGTGTCATTATGGTGGGCTCTCTTGGCGCATTTTTTGAGGCATCATTCATCATCTGTCCAGCTGCGGCAGTGGCTGCGGTTGCGGCTTGAGCCATGAGCGGAAAAGTAGGTGTTCGAGAGGAGGACCGCACATGTCCTGGGTCATCATCCCTCCGATCCTGTTGGAGAAGTGGCTTTTCTTCCTGCAGTACCACTGGTTTCGATGGCAGATAACCGGAGCTGCGAGGACTTTGAGAATATTCATCTCCAGAACGACTCGCTTCTCTAGAGGAGCGAGGAGAACGCTTGAGGCCGGAGTTGTCAGAGCTTCCATAGGAAGAAGCATCTCGTCTGTCACTTTTGGAGTATGAATACTCGTCACGGTATCGGGGGTCAACATCACTCGTCATTCTCCTCGACCGGCTGCCATCCAGATCCGTATTGGATCGCCTTGCGGACGATGACGATGCGCGATCTTTGCCATAGTAATCGCGGTCTGAACCGCGGCTTGTCTCAAACTTGTGACTCGAACTGGATGGCGACCGTCCATGGTACCCAGAGGGTTGACTCATGCCATGATACCTCTTCTCGCGTCCTTTGGTTCCACTTTGAATGACATCTGGAGACAGTAAGTAATCGCCGTAGGGACGGGACTGGCGAGGATCGAAGTAATCTGGTTTGTGGCCGGTAGCCGCTGATCGGGTTCGATGATGTTCGGGTTCGTGGCGGTCATCCAGTTCGGTATCAATAGCCGGCAGATCTTGCTGGCTTCTCCGACGGTCCGGTCCATATCGTGATCCGTTGCCAGCATCTTTTCGTTTGCCGTAGATGTCTTCTGGTCTTGGCGATCGCTGAGAGGACGTGCGTTCTCTTCGATCCTGTGTATCGTCCCGAGTTTCCTTCTTGGGCCTGTCGTTTGCAGAGGGAGTTGGTCTCTTTGCAGATTCCGGAACGACTACGAAACGTCTCTCGGGGTTATGTTCATGAACATCCTCCATGACATACTTCTGGTCAACATCGCCTCTGCACTGTGGCTCTTCCTCGGCAACCACAGATGCTGCAGGCGAGCCATACTCCCTGGCAAGAGACTCGGTCTCTTCTTCAACAGTAGGCGGCGGCGGACGCCATCTTTTCGGCTCCGGCGCGGGTGCAAGGTATACCGTTCTAGGGACTTGACCGTGTACAGGCACTGGTGGAGGGACGGGTTCTGGGGGAGCATAACGCGAGGGTCCGGGGGATCGAGAGGAATCGTCCGGGCTATATTGATCAGTTAGCAGGTAAATCCTGCGAAACGTGGCCATAACTGCACCATGAAGGACTACACTGACGGGTCAGTGCTGCGAGTTCTGGACGTGGTAAAGTAGCCCGTCTCGAGCATGTTTTGGATATTGAGCGAGTCTCCCATGCTGAATTTCTGCTCACGGGTTCCACCACACACTAGGCATTGCAGCTATCTTTTAGTCAATGGTATTCAAGGACGGGGGTCTGGTGTAGCTAGTTCTTTGCCGACGGGGAGCAATGCCTGCAGTATTGTCGCCAAACGCGGTTGGAGAGCCAAAGACGCGACCAATCGACGAACTTGGAGGTTGGGCCAGTTGGGTATTCGAAGCTCCAGATGCCCAGTGACCAGTGACCAGTGACTGGCCAGTGAGCGACGGTGAAGAAGGCCGCACCGGTTGACCAGTAAGGAAGGCAGGAGCGGGCGAGCGACCAGCAGACGGAAGGAGCAAGTGAAGCAATGCAAAATGGGGCAAGGCACTCGCACGAAGGCAGGAGCCAGCGGTGAAGACAAAGAAGGTGCTCTACCAAGGTCGTCGCGGGAGTGCCAAATGGGAACCAGAACTGATTTATGACTGGTGAGACTGGCTCAGGGTTGGGGACAGGTCCAAGACCACAGTGCAGAACAGGTGGTTAGAGGCGCAGCCAACCCCATGTACGGAGGAGCAGCGATGACATAGTTGGTGGGGCCGGGCGTGGAAGGGCTGGACAAAGAAGATTCCAAGGCGGACCATTGAAGCGCCAGGGGGCATCGGGGGCACACAACAGGCCACTCGCTGCAGAACGAGCACTTGACCAAGGAGTCGGGTTGCGCCAGGCCACCTGGACACACGGGCGTCCGGGACACCGAACACGATACGGAGCCGACGGGATCAAGCGTTGAAGTCTGTATTACCCAGTGCTCCGAGCAGCCCCTGGCAAGCCTGCGCCTGGTCCGTGGCACACCTCAACAGTGAAGATGAAAAGTCAGCATTGGCACTGGCACAAGCACCAGTGACCCCTCAGCGGGCGGCCCGCCCGTGGCCCCACTTCAAACTCTGGGCTGCATTCCTACCCCTTGCCCTGGTTGTCGCTTGACACGCGGGCAGTCAAGGACCCATCCCAAACATGTCATGTCAAACCACTCAACGCCACATCTCACTACCCTAGAGTAGAGGCAACAAATGCGTTTCACGCTGCGCTGATCGGTGCAGTGCGTAGTTGGTGCAATGTTCATTTCACGCGGGCATGATGGCTATGGTCTACCATTATTGAGCGGTATTTACCGCTCAAGTACTTCCGGCAGAGTCCATGGCTCAAGGGAAAAGTGGCTGGGTTAAACCGCCAAGTTGGCTAATGCTCCCATCAGCTCATGCCCCAGCTTCATCTGCACGACAAGAACCGATCTTCATGCGAGCAAAACCAGCCTCCGTAAACCCACCACTACAGCCGCACACTGACCAGACATAAAATCCCGGCCAAGACGAACTGCGCCCAGAAAACAAGTAGTCAAGATGCGCACACCTCACACCTTCCTCATCTCATGTAAAGGCCACGAATTCATTTTCACAGACTCATTGATAACATTACACGTGAGCAGCCCTTTATTCGCCCAGACGCCAAGTCCACGCCGCCCTCTCAATCCTCCAGGAACTCCTGAATATCAGCATCCTCGTCCAGCGCAGCCCTTCGCCTCTCGTCGTCCTCCAACAGCTCCCTCAGCATCTTTCGTTGCCGCACGCGCGCCTTCTGACCCCAATCTGAGCTGGTACCGTCGGCCCCCGCATTGTCGTCATCCGCGTACAGCTTCTCCTTGATGCCGCGGTATTCGTTGGGCGTGAGTTCCGGGTGAGGCAGCTTGTCGTCCTCGCCGCGCGCTGCCCTGTCGTCCCTCTCCATCTTCTCTACTGCGCCCTTGGTGACGGCCTTGAGGAAGTATGGCCGGAGGAGCATGTATCCGCCTGCGATGACGACGATGCGGATCCAAGACTGCAGGGTCATGCTGTTGAAGCCTTGCGAGATGTTGCTGGTGGCGTTCTGCCCATACTCGGAGAGACGCGCAACGATCTGGCCGAGGAGGTTGAGCGCCGGCGGCTGCTCGGCGTCGACGGGCTTTGCTTGCTGGTCCATGATGGCGTTGCGCCCGAGTCGATTCGCTTCCGGGTGGGAATATGATGGCTGAGTTTGCCGCGAGGTGAGTTGTTCGCTGCGCCAAGAGTAGTGATGCGTCTTGGGACGGCCTGTGACTGGAGGTGAGATGTAGTCGACAGAAAATTGTTTGTGGCAGGTGGATCCTTGGTATGTACGGAGTACGGAGTAAGTACTTGTGACTTCCGGGGTGGTTGAAGACCATGGATGCTCCGGCGATGCAGAGTTTGGCCCGGCTCAAACACGATCGGGAGTGGGAAAAAGACGGAAATGAAACATGGAAACGTGAGATTGGCAATGTTTTCTTGCAAAAGAACTTTTTCTTTTCCCATGGGGACTCCTTGTCCGGAGTGCCCAGGTCTTGCTGATGCAGCAAGCCTATTGGTGGGTTCCTCCGATGACACCGGTGGAACACCACACATGGGCGGCCGAGTTCCCGGCCGATGGAGAACAGAAATATCAGTCTCTTCGGGGGACGTTCAAAGGCAACCTCTCAATGTGGTCATCGACCCTCAAACGTCAAGTGCTTCGGCAGCGCAACGCGCCTTTGTCTTCTTGTGCGTGCGTGGTCCCGAGCTCGGCTTCTCGTGCTTGGGTTTCCGTCAGCAATGCACCTTTGTGCGCCGGAGTGACAAGGCGCCATCAATGCATGCCTGCCAGCGGTGCCGTCCTGAGAATTCGAGAAGGTGCCGGGCATCACGAATCATTCTCCCCCGTACAAAATCAGTGTCACAATGCTGAAAAAAAGAAAGCCTCTGCTGCCCGTCCGAGCCAGCGCAATGCGACGGTATTAAGGACTCTTCCTTTCTTCTTCTGTCCCCATTCTCCACAGGTGGGGGCTTCGATATTGGTCGCTATGGCGCGATTCAGGCACATCAAATTCTTCAGTGACTCAACGGCCAAGGTTTAGCGGCGGACGGACCTTGATTTCCCAACGAACCAGAATCTCGACGCGCGGGATGGCCCCCCACACAGCCGTACCTTGGTTTATAATACATGTACTGTAGTTGAACCATTGGGCCGAGGTGCTGCAGCCACTAACGTACATATGTATTGTACAGGATCTTCCATTACAACCTGGGTATGCTGGCCGCCGGCCCGGCAAAGTTGCCGCTGCTAAAGGCTTGGTTAAAAGTCGTTACCGGTCCCCTCTCCACGCTTTCCTACGGAAACTGCCCTTCTCCCCATCTTTTCTGTCCCAGTTAGCACTGTAACGGACGTCAGGGAGCAGGCCGTCTTGGAAACAAGATGACGGAAAAGTTGGACCAAACCGCTCAAGTCAACAAGACTTTGAATGGTTCAGATTCCGGTCTAGACGCCCTTGCGCCGACGCCAAGTCACTGTACGCAAAAACTGGCTGAGTCAGATGCGGCCATGGTACAAGGTGAATGGATTGCTGAAACGGGTGAACAGGTCTCGCGTCAAGTCTCTCGTCAAGCTTCTCGTCGTGATGTTGAAACCGCGAGCCAAGAGCTCAGCGATTCCACCGACGATGACGACGACTTTCCTGATGGCGGCCTAGAGGCTTGGCTGGTGGTGCTAGGCGCCTGGTGTGTTTCGTTTTGCAGCTATGGTTGGATTAATAGTGAGTGACAATATGCCCTTGGACGCTTTGCCATGTCCAAACCATGTATGATTCTCAAAACTGCAAGCCGTAGATTGCTAACCCCCTTTGTTAGGTGTTGGGACCTTCCAAGAGTATTACCAAACTGGACCTCTCAAGGAGTATACTGCAAGTCAGATTGCTTGGATCCCGTCAATGCAAATCTTTCTCATGTCGTTCTTGTCGCCATTCACAGGAAGAATCTTTGACAACCATGGTCCAAGATCCTTGCTCCTCGTTGGATCTTTTTTGCACGTCTTCGGTCTTATGATGGCGTCGTTATCGTCCGAGTACTATCAGTTCATGCTTTCCCAGGGACTCTGCAGCGCCATTGGTGTTTCTGCCAGCTTTTTGGCGGCTATTGGCTCTGTAAGCGGCTGGTTCAAGAAGCGTCGTGGCACGGCGTTTGGAATATTCGCCACCGGGTCCAGTCTTGGAGGCGTCGTGTTCCCAATCATGCTCAGCAACCTCATCAAGACTGTTGGATATGGGTGGGCCATGCGCAGCGCTGCCTTTATCATCTTGGCTCTTCTCATTGTGGCCAACTTGACCATCAAGGCTCGACACGTGAATGGACGCCAGGCGCTTTCGAAAGAACTTCTGGCACGGCCATTTCATGAAAAGACGTTTTTGCTGTTGCTTATTGGTCTTTCCTTGGTGCCGTTTGGTCTGTATACACCAATCAACTTTATCCCTACTGTAGCCAAAGCGGAAGGAATGCGAGACTCCCTCGCTCAAAATCTGATTGCGTTTTACAACGCTGCAAGGTGAGCTCGTGATGAATCTGCCTACATCTGCCCGAGACTCTGATTTGTTTCTAACTTGCTTGACCAGCTTGATTGGCCGTGCGGGCTCAGGTCTCCTTGCCGATAGATTTGGACTCTTCAACATCTTCTCGCTAGCCTGCTATGGCGCTGGAATCTTCATCATGGTTCTGTGGATCCCAGGTGGAGGGAATGACGCTGCAACGGTTGCTTTCTCTCTGTTGTTTGGCCTCTTCTCCGGCGCCTACATCGCGCTATTGGGGGCTTTGGTGGCAAGAATTTCGCCAATTGAAGAAGTCGGTTATCGGAACGGCATTGGCCAATTATTTGGTGCTGTTGGTGGCTTGGTCACAGCTCCAATTGCTGGTGCCATTCTTCAGGGGCCTGGCGGCGAGATTGGACTGAAAGCGTTTGCTGGAGCGTTCATGATTGTTGGAACAACTGGCATTGTTGCAGCACGAATATCTCAAACAGGCTTCAAACTGTGGGTTAGGTTTTGAACCATGAAAAGTATTCATTCATCTACTGCTCGGTGGCTCAAGGTTACCAGCGAGCAGATGGTAGTGCGACAAAAAAGCATTCAGAATTTAGAGTAATAATCGAGCGAGCGGTCATGTATTTAAATTGAGAGCAGGTAGATGCTGAGAACTTTTCGAGGCCTTCTTAATTGATAGAAATGTGATCAGGACTTCAAGGTGTGTTATAATACGTAGGCGCACGTCTTGAGTGTCGTCAAACCTTGTCTTAAACTGATTTGAAATCGGACGACTGAGAGTGATGCTCCTCTTGTACAGCTATGGTCAACGGTAGAATATCTGCCCACCTAGAAGTATATGCTAGCACACTTTCGTATATTATAGTAGACAGCGCGATAGCCAGATACCTGATCTGCCTCTCACCGTTGACGGGACCTCACGTGATGCGCTGGCTGCCACTCGCCGTAGCGGCAGGCACGACTGGCCCCTGTCATGGGCCTTTCCCAAGCTGCAGTCCATTGGAGCTCATAAAAATTTCGAAGCGGCGTCTCCATAAAGATCCAATACAATTGTACCCTCCAGCATAATCACCTCCTTTTGCACCAATCCTCCATTCATTCTCTTCTTCAATCGGCGTATTCTGGTTTCAATTGTCCGTTTATTTCACAATGTCTGTTGCTTTTAGATCTGTTGCGCCGTTCCTACGGACTGCGCGGCACGGCTTGCGCAGTGGCCGTGTTAACCCCCTTCAGACGGTCATCAAACCCCAAACCGCCTCTGGCATTCTCAACATCTACCGATCATACGCCGTTTTTGAGCGAAGCAAACCCCATGTCAACATTGGTATGCCTGTGAAATGTTCTCTTGAAATAAACCAACTCTAATGTTGATTCCCAGGTACCATTGGTCACGTCGATCACGGCAAGGTAGGAGGAGAACGACACAGCCATGCGAAATACCGGACAGCTAACCAATGGCTATTTTAGACCACCCTTTCTGCTGCCATCACCAAGCGACAGGCCGAGAAGGGCCTTGCCAACTTTCTCGAGTATGGCGCCATTGACAAGGCTCCTGAGGAGCGCAAGCGTGGTATTACCATTTCGACCGCGCACATCGAGTACGCTACCGAGAACCGTCACTATTCCCACGTCGACTGCCCTGGCCACGCCGATTATATCAAGAACATGATTACTGGCGCTGCCAACATGGATGGTGCTATTATTGTTGTCGCCGCCTCCGACGGACAGATGCCCCAGACCCGTGAACACTTGCTCCTTGCCCGACAGGTTGGCGTCCAGAAGATTGTAGTGTTTGTCAACAAGGTCGATACCATTGATGACCCCGAGATGTTGGAACTCGTTGAGATGGAAATGCGCGAGCTTCTCAGCACCTATGGCTTCGAGGGTGATGAGACCCCTGTCATCATGGGCTCTGCTCTTTGCGCTTTGAACAACCAGAAACCTGAGATTGGCAACAACAAGATTGACGAGCTCATGGCCGCCGTTGACGAGTGGATCCCTACCCCTGAGCGTAGCCTGGACAAGCCTTTCCTCATGTCTGTTGAGGACGTCTTCTCTATTTCTGGCCGTGGTACTGTTGTCTCTGGACGTGTTGAGCGTGGTGTCCTGAAGCGTGATGAGGAAATCGAGCTCGTTGGCAAGGGCAAGGAGATTATCAAGACCAAGGTTACGGATATTGAAACTTTCAAGAAGTCTTGCGACCAGTCGCAAGCTGGTGACAACTCCGGGCTCCTCATCCGTGGTGTCCGCCGGGAGGATGTCCGCCGCGGCATGGTTGTCTGCAAGCCTGGCACGGTCAAGTCTCACACTCAGTTCCTCTCCTCTCTCTATGTTCTTACCAAGGAAGAGGGTGGCCGCCACACCGGTTTCCACGAGCACTACCGCCCCCAGCTCTACCTCCGAACATCTGACGAGTCTGTCGACCTGACCTTCCCTGAAGGTACGGAAGATGCTCAGGGTAAGATGGTCATGCCAGGTGACAACGTCGAGATGGTTGTGACACTGACCAACCCTAATGCCATTGAGGTTGGTCAGCGATTCAACATTCGTGAGGGTGGTAAGACTGTTGCTACTGGTCTGTGCACCCGTATCATGAAGTAAAGGCGGCATCACCATCATCTTGGACTAGAAGAAGGATCGGAGAGGAGTAGAAATACCACAAGCGACCGTGGATCTATTGGCACCAAAATTAAAAGGAGGAGGTTCCTTTGACAATTCTAAAAGCGACACAATAGGAGGTCGAGTTGAGTGTAAGATGTACGAATTCCCATGTTTCTGAGCGAAAAGAGCTCTTTGTATATTCCCAGGATGGCCCTGGAGATCTCTCCACTCTGCTTCTTCCCATTGTCTTGATACTTGTACTTTAGACAGGCATATAGGGTGGAATCAGTAATGCAAGAAATTCAACAACAACACACAATATTTGTTTCATGAGTATGTTGTGTTGGAATTGGTGATGACGTGAACTAGGAATCATCGGAGAAAGCAGGTGAGGTGAATTGTTACTAGTTTATGGAGTTAGGGCGGATGCAGGAGCTTAGGTCAGCCTTAGGCAAAGCTCTTCAATCTCTTGTACGAACTGAGAATTTGACAAGACTGCAATTCTTAACGTGCTTTACAAACGGGCGTCAACCTAATTAACCACCCGTATTTTTCATAAGTGTTCTGTCCCAGAATGAGCCAGGAGCTTATCTGCGTGGCAAACTACTGGCGTCTTATCTCCACGTGATTGCATACCCCGACGTTGGCGCCAGCCAAGAGAGCTTGCGTGGGGTAGATATGGTTTGGACATGGTTTCAACGCCGCTAAGGAAGCTTACTGCAAGCTGGCCATCTCGACACATTTCATTTCTAAGCAACAGCCATTGTCAGCCATTCAACCACGCAGACCTTTGTTCCATCACCTATTGCTGTAAAGTACAGTTATTCGATTCTTTATTGCTCAAAATCCCGGCCGAAAGCTAATTTTTTATTCTTCCAATTAAGTTAAAAGTTCGCCCAGCATGGTCCTCATCAAGAGCCTCGTGCTCGCCGCCGTGGCCGCCGTTGCGACCGCCAGATCCGCCGTCATGGATCTTACTCCTGCAAACTTCGACAAGGTAGTCCTCAAGTCGGGAAAGCCTACACTTGTTGAATTCTTTGCCCCCTGGTGCGGCCACTGCAAAAGCCTGGCTCCCGTGTACGAGGAGCTCGCCGTCGCCTTTGAACACGCCAAGGACAAGGTACAGATTGCCAAGGTCGATGCCGATGCCGAGCGGGAGTTGGGCAAGCGTTTTGGAATCCAGGGATTCCCTACGCTCAAGTACTTTGACGGAAAGTCAGATAAGCCCGAGGAGTACAAGTCTGGCCGAGACCTGGAGAGCCTGACCGAGTTCCTGACGGAGAAGGCTGGGGTCAAGGCTAAGAAGAAGCTGGAGATGCCTAGCGAGGTTGTGATGCTTACTGATAAGAGCTTTGCGGAGACTGTCGGAAGTGAAAAGAATGTGCTGGTTGCGTTTACCGCTCCTTGGTGCGGGCGTAAGTGATTGTCTCTGCGTGCATATCTCGAGCGGGTGATGCGGCTCGATTTGGGAGTTGCTAACAATGTGTGCTTAGACTGCAAGAACCTGGCACCCACGTGGGAGAGCCTTGCTGCCGATTTCGTCGGTGAGGCCAATGTTGTCATTGGCAAGGTTGATGCCGAAGCTCCCAACAGCAAAGCCGTGGCCACCGAACAGGGTGTCACTTCTTACCCGACCATCAAGTGGTTCCAAGCTGGAAGCAAGACGGGCGAGAGCTACGATGGTGCCCGCTCTGAGGACGACTTCATCAAGTTCATCAACGAGAAGGCTGGAACGCACCGCGTTGTCGGCGGTGGTGTTGACCGTGTTGCTGGAACCATTGCCGTCCTTGACGCGCTGGTTGCCAAGTTCACCGGCGGCGCCAAGTTGGAGGATATTGTCGGCGAGGTTAAGAGTGCCGTGGAGAAGTTCAACGACGATGCCAAGTATGCCTACGCCAAGTACTATGTCCGTGTCTTTGACAAGCTGAGCAAGAGCGATAATTATGTCTCCAAGGAGCTCTCAAGACTCGAGGGCATCTTGGAGAAGGGTGGCCTGGCCCCGTCTAAACGTGACGAGATTCAGAGCAAGACCAATGTTCTGCGCCGCTTCGCTGAGAAGGCTGCTGAGAAGGCCGAGGAGCTCAAGGACGAGCTGTAAATGATGGATATGCCGACTGGACTATGAATTGTGGTCAAATTAGGAAACGTGTTGGGAGCATAGGCCCGAGGACATTTTACGTCACATGTGCAACGAAAGTAAAGCAATACACGCCAGTAGGCTTGACTGGTACATAGAGATGGAATCATTAAAAGGTTATCGAACGAATTAAAAAGAAAACTTGCAAAATGTACAATGTTACTCATCAGCCATTTCATAAAGTAAACACACTCAAGACTTTGTCGAGCCTGAGCTCTCATTTGCCTTGGTCTCTTGTAGGGCCGCCTCTAAATTATCTAGTCTGCGCGACATTTCGTCCACTATTCATTTTGACCATCAATGTCTCATATCAGCAACTGGTCTTGTCTTGCGGAGATTTTCGGGTCGGGGAAAAAAAGTGATTGTGTGTAGGGAGTACAAAAGGGATGATTTTGGTGTGAAACTCACTTTTGGCAAATATCTCGGACGACACGCTAGCGAATTTGTTGGACAGCGTGTTCAACAAGTCCTCTACGGCGGCTGAGACATCGGCGTTGGAGTTATCGGGCGTCTGGTCGAGATTTGTCAGAGCTGATAAGGGGGAGATTTTGGAGGTGGCTGAAGGGGAGGGAGGCAAGGAGGGTATTGTTTGAGGGGGATGAGGGGGAGCAGGGCGTCGCGTACGGAGGCTTTGTCGGCGCTGGACCCGGGGTCTGCTGAGGACATGGCGGGGTTTGGTGATTATGGTGAAGACGACTTTGCGTGCGTCATTGAGCGTTTGACGACGGGCGGTAGGCAGCGTCTGGAGAGCCGTTGATGGTGGTTGAGCGTGGGTGGGCTCGAAGTGGTTTGGCAGATGCGACCAGTCAATCAATCCATCCATCGGCACCCCGTACATACCTAGGTACCTAGGTACGTGCTCCGTACCCCAAACAGTTATGGAAAGAACGGAGTCCATGTCTCTTTCCACATATACGAGGGCACGAGGGCGTGCGTGCCCAAGTGCATTCTGGGCCACTTCTGCCACGGTCCACGGACAATCACCGAACGCGAGAGCGTCCATGACTGAATCCGCTCCCGCAGGTTTCCCAGCAATTTTGGGCACTTGGACCATCCACCGCCGACGTTGGTTGTCGGCTGTTACTTTCGCCAGTTGACGGGGTCCGCATGCTACGGCACTTGCCGACTTGAGTAAGCGACAACGTCCCTGGACTAGGAGGCTTGAGCACCAACACTCCTCATAAACTTTAACCAGTCCGGCCTGCTGCACATCCTCTACCCTTTCTGTCCTTGAACGTTTCAGTTTTTTTTCTCTCATCCCCTCTTGAACCCGCCATTGCAGACATAACCGCAATCCTGCTTGGAGTGCCTCCCGCCGCGCAGCATATCATGGTGGCGACGTAGCACAAACCCTTCTTCCCGCGCTGCGTCCGAGACCACATCGGCCACCAACATGCCTTCTCCAGCGCAGAGTCCAGCAGGTGCCGTCCTCTTCATCCTCTTTCTCGTGTGGATGCTATTCCCAGAAGGCGACTACCGAAGCCAATCTCTTGCCCTGTCCGACTTGGCTGTTGATCGACTCGCGCGATACCGAGATGCCCTCCACGTGCTGAACACGACGAGGTGGGGGGACTTTGCGCCCCAGAACAAAACCACCGACGATGGACGTGAAGCAAAGCATTTGAACCTTACGGGTTTCAGGGAAACAGACGGTTTCGCATGGGACGATTTAGAAACATTCAGACAAAAGGGTCTGAAGCTGAGCCGACATGCTGTTCCGCCCGTGGACGGCCATCAGCTTTGGGATGTGGCGCAGGGAGAGGCAATGTGGACAAATGCCTCGGGAACCGTCCATGGGGACTGGGTTCGCAAGCCGGGCTCTGCTTTCCGCGGCTACGACAGCTACAACTTGTCCAGGAGCGTGCCCGAGGTGGAATGGATGGCGCACAAGGTCGAGTGGGCGCGCAACGTGACGGGCAATGCTGGCAGGATGATGCTCCGACTGAGTGGGAATAAGACGCTCACTCATTACGAACAGCTGTCCATGGACATGGCGCCGTTGTCGGGCGGCATCATCCGCAGTTTGAGAGGCACAGCTACCATCGAGGACACCATTGGCTCGGGTTTGAACTGGGAGATGAAGCTCTGGGGCGTCCATTGGCCGCGGCAGGGCGTCATCCTCATGACGACGACGAGCGAGAAGTTTGAAGGCATCTTTGCTTTGCCGCACTTGTCACCTGGCCCGGATTTCTTCCAGTCGAGCCAGATGTTGCTGAACCAGACGCTGGCCCGCGTCATCCGCCGCAAAGAGAAGCACGTCTACGTCGATCAACGGATGCCGTGGAACTCGGACATTGAAAACCCCATGTACACAGCGTATCCCTCACCGCACTGCGAATATATCATGTACGCCCAGGTTCATCCGCCCATTCCTCCCAAGCCGACCGAAGGCCAAGACGCGGCTCCAGGAGCCGTGGGAGACACCATCAACGCCATAGAGTCGGAGCTCCAGTATCCCGTCGGCGCACCCATCCCACGGATACCCAAGCTCAAAATGTCCGCCGTCGTATACTCCCCGGACTGTTCGTTCTTTCTCGAGACCAAAGGACCGCCGGATTACCCGCTCAGTGAAGCCGATCATCTCGTCGGCATGAAGAAGGAAGTACAGACGCATCAAATTAAGACATGGCTGTTGCTCTACGCACTGGTGGTGTTCGGCCAAGTCCGTCTTCTCCGAGACCAAATGAAGGAATCCTTCACGCCGTCCACCATGGGCAGAATTAGCTTCGGCACCATCAGCGCCATGTTGATTGTCGATGGAATGACTTTCACCGCCGCAGCAACATGGGTGTCCTCTGCAGCGGCCACCTTCTTGCCCACGCTGGCACTAATGTTTGCCTCGTTTCTGAGCATGACCATTGGAGGAAGTTTCCTGGCAAAGATATACGAAGTCCAACTCCCCGAGAGCAGAGGCCGTCGCGATCAGTCCTCCTCATCCACCACAACCGCACAAGATAGTTCCGCCAACTCCATCGCTGCAACTCCTACACCAGGTCTACTCCCAGGCCCAGTGACGGCCTCTCAGCGCGTTGAAACACCCATCATCATCCCCTCGGACCAAGATATATCCGCTGAAATTGCCGCGGCTGCCTCTGCCATTCCCACTGCCAACCGCAGCAGCCCTTCCACCCCAGAAACACCAACCTTCCAAGCCATCATCGGCAGATTCATCTTATTCTCTCTCTGCGTCTCCTTCCTCGCCATCTCCTCGTCAACATGGTACCCCCGCCCGCGGTCCGTATTCCTCAACACCTGCGCATTCATCTACCTGTCCATGTGGACGCCCCAAATCTACCGCAACACTCTGCGCAACTGCCGCCGCGCGCTCGCATGGCCCTTTGTCCTCGGCCAGTCTGTCCTGCGCCTCCTCCCTATTGCCTACTTCTGGGTCAAGGAAGACAATTTCCTCTACGCAACCACCGATGTACCTGCGTTTGTGTTCCTCGCAGGCTGGGTCTGGATCCAAGTCGTTGTCCTAGCCGCGCAACAAATCGTCGGTCCTCGATTCGGCGTGCCGCTGTCCTGGACCCCCGACGCGTGGGACTATCACCCTGTTCTGCGAGAGGACAATCTCGAGGGAGGTGGCCTGCCCATCGGCCTGGTGGTCCCCGAGGAACGAAACAGCCTGGATAGAGCCCTGGCAGGGGCTGAAAAGACCGGTGTCAGGCATATAGATTGCGCCATCTGCAGGGAGGTGCTGGAGGTGCCTGTCGTCAAAGCCGGCGAGGAGGAGTCCAGCGTGTCGGGCGTCTTCGCGCGGAGAATGTACATGGTGACTCCGTGCAGACACATCTTTCATACGGCGTGTTTGGAGAGCTGGCTGCGGTTTAGGCTGCAGTGTCCTATTTGCAGGGACGAGTTGCCGCCCATTTGATGAATTATTTTTTATTTTTTATATTTAGTTTTTTTGATCCTTGGTGTTGGGGCTATTTACGACATGGGGTTTGCTGGAATTGTTTGGGACCGCACTGATATTGCGGAAAATGCTGATTCATGTTCATTGATTCCGGACAAGTTTGAATCCGGTGCACAAAAACGGATAGATACTGGAATCTGCTTCTGCTGGCAAGGAGAATGTATCATTGGCAATATATAACATCAAATTTCAATTGTAACACTACGACTGGGCCGGAGCACTGTCTACTCCACGTACAGCGCCAGTAGAAAAATGGTCTACTTGACTTTTGAAATAACCACCCGTTAAAATCCTGGGATATCTTGAATTCTCAACGTACACTTTTTCCATCCAAACAACGCCTCGAGTCCAACGCACTATTCCCCCCCAAAAGCCACCAAACCGAGGTGGAAAGGCTACCACATAATTCTGGTAGTTCGTACCCTGTCGTCATGGGATCCCTCATGCACTGCTCGCGTGCCCACCCTAAGCTCGGCGAATCGAGCTCGAAGATCAAAGTCAGCAGACTTCACCATGACTCTCTTTTCTTCCGGAATCGGCTCCAACGGCAGCACCGATTCATCCCACCCCATTGAGAGATCGCCGTAGGATTCTTCGATTTGCATGACCCAAAGGCCAATATTAGCTGCCAACTCACTGTCCCACATGCCCTCTCTCCTCGCACTGCTGCGCAACAACTGAATAGCTTGACGTCGGAGCCTGGGTTCGCGGCACTTGGTTGCCACGACAAAGAGGGGCGGTACGATACCGAGATCTGCGGAAAAGCTGGGCTTGATGTGAGGCGTATTCAGCTTGCCGGCTCTGAATGCGCCCTTGGTGTTTGCGTACTGGTTCTGGTCGTCTTCGGTTTTCACTTTTCCCTCCACGGCAGCCCTGCACTCTTCTGCGCTGACCACCTCCCAGCCAAGATCGACAATGGCCTTGAAATGTGGCAAAAAAGCATCGAATTTCACTTCCGTATCGCAAAACATCATCAAGAATAGAACATTGCTGTTGATCTGAAACATTTTCAGGGCGGATATTCCTGCTTTCTCAATGAGGCTGACGCGTGGATCGAAGCGAGACTGAAATATGTGCTCGAACGCGACCGCCCAAGAGTCCAGCTCACTCTTCAGGTCTATGCCATATTGCCTCCATGATTCTGGTAGCACGTTACTCTTGTTGTTTTTGGCGATTTGAAGTCGTTCGATAAATTTGAGCAACCTCTCGCACAGCTTATCCGAAGCTAGGCGGGCGTCCAGCAACGACTCGAACCGGGGTGGAACAATTATACTAGGCGGCGATCCGGGCGACCCAATATCTGAAGAAACGGGAGATGACCCACGGGATTGTTGTTGTGGAGTTAGACGTATGACATATGGTTGAGGAAAGTGGAATGCCATGTCGTATGATTTGGCTTGTATCGCTAACCGGGTGAAAATATTGAGCAAATCATCTTCGATGTACCCTTCCGGACCAGGTGTACGGTGGTTGGGATAAAGGGTTTTGAGTTGTTCGAGAAGGCTAAGACCTGTCTGAATTTGAATAATGGCCTGCTTGTGGTCCCCAATGAAAGAATCGAAGCATGCCAAGAGAATACTAGCCATGAGTCGGGTTCTAAAAGACCGTAAGCTCTGTCCATGGAGAAGCATCATTGAATTCATTGCATCAGAGTACTGATTAACGGCAACTTGCCAATGTGACTCCAGGGTCCCTTGAAGCATCTCCTTTTTGTCTGGACTGATTATCGGAATGTAGTGGGATTGCTCCAAAGTTTTATACAGAGCACCGAGAGCAACGACTGAGTGGCGGATGGCTGACTCGGCATGGCACTCCTGCAGAACCCGCTGAGCCCAGAAGTTGGAATTGAAGTATCCCGATAGCTCGGACGAGGTTTGGACGCGGAAGAGTTCGAAATACAAGCCTTCAACTTGCTGAAATCCCAAGGTATTGGAAGGCTGGTGCAACGTAAGCGGAGCTGCGGCAGCCAAAAGGGTATGCTGTGTGACGACTGATTGGCGTTTGCGCCGATTAGCTCGGCGCGGTGGTAGGACTGTTGGTTTGACAATGCTGGAAGAGGCAATTCCAGATGCCACCTGTGACCGAATCGCCAACATAGGTTTGGGTGCAATCCTGATATCCGCAAGTGGCCTGGCGCTCCGTGGTGGTGGGGGATAGCCCGTGCAGACCTTATTGCTTCTCACGCATTGAGTGCAGGCTGGCCGTAGCTCATCGCACTTGATGCGTCTTTGTCTGTGGGCAACGGTTAGCGTGATTGAGCAGGGCTTGCGTGAGGCAGTCTCAGCGAGGAGGGTGGTCACTCACTTGCAGTTTGAGCAGCCCGTCTTGACCTTCGGATTACTTCGCCGTCCACGCTTCACAGGCTGGCCATCAGGGCCAACGTGAGCCCCATCCTTGGACGTGGAGCTGCTGGGAAAGACGGTGGAGGAAGTGCATGGTATCGACGGCGAACTGATAGGCCTTATTAGTTGTGACTCTGGCGAAGACGACATGATGCGTCAGCGTGTTGCGGATTGCGTTTCTTGAGACTTGAGCCCCTGACCGGCCGAGGTCCTGCTCAACGTCGGGTTGAGGAGAAGCAATGGAGTTGATAAATGACGCGAAGTATACTGGGGCGGGCCAAGCAAATATATATGACGATTCACGAGGAGCAGCGCCCATGTATTATACCGTCAGCCACAGAGACCGAGCGGCCGCCTCTGACAACACGAAGAGGCAAGCGTTGAGTATGGCCAATGGCTTTGGCTTAGCAGATTAATCTGCCGACGGCAAGCTGTAGACCAGGAAACTGGGACAAAGGCCAATGATGTCGCCAGAGCTAGACCGCAAGAACGCCAGACTGGTTATATGGCGGCAGTGGGAAAACGCAAGAGAAATAAGTACTAGAACAAGGCGAGGCAATGTACCATGGTGCCAGCACAAGAGAGGAGCAGGCCTCAGCTCGAGCACCGCCTTGTTCGACGACAAGGACGCGGTGGTGTCATACGTCTGGTCGGTTTATGACGGAGATGGACGATATCATAGGCCACAGACCCCGAGCGAAAGCCTCAAAAGAAAAACTGCCAAAGAAAAAGAAAAAAAAAAGTTTAAAAAAACAAAACAGCTAGTAGATGCCAAAAGCAGGAAGAATCGTCAGCGTTGCAAGAATCTCGGCCTGCTTCGAGTATCTGTGGGGATGGATGTCCAAGCTTGAGAACTGCCGAATTGTACGGAGTACATATGTCGGTAGGAGGCCCTGTTAGCTCAAGCGATAGCACTCGGTACAGAAGATGCAACAGCGGAATGCTACGGCAGCGGTGGAGTAGCGAGATTGATGGCGAAGGAGGCAAAGGTCGACGTGCATCGGCGGCGTGCATAAGGGGGAACTGGGGGATTTGGGGATTGGAGATGCGAAGATCCAAATGTCTGCAGACATGGAGTATTTAGTAAACGAGCAATAATATGGATTGCCTGTATGGTGCTCGGCACTCCATCCTGAGCGTAAAAGACCGAAGACTGACACTTGGGCCAAGAGAAGCTGAGGTGGGGCGCTCGAGCCAGTTGGACGAGGAAGGCGCCATTTGAACTGGGGCTCGTTTTGGGCACTGCAAGTCGTCAATGGAGCAGCATTAGCGGAAGGTACGACCACAGATCGGACGATGGACGTCGGGTCAATGCAGCAGGAGCCACGGAGCCAGGGAACCTCAGGCTGCCGTTGAGCGTGCAAGCGCGTGCAAGGAGCTGGGGGCAGCTGGCACTGGAGGGACTACGAATTCATCACTCGCTCACTCACAATGTTCAAGTCTTGGCTGCCTGGCAATGTACTCCGCAATACCACTGACTTTGCCACATTCAATCAATTTGCGACAGGATGCTCCGAATTACGGAGTGCGACTCTGCATCTGATGGTGCATCAATGTGCCCTCATGTGCGTACATACAGGCCAAGTACCAAAACTTGGCTCAGGGTTGTAGAGCTTGAATGGCCTGACCCCACTAGGAGCCAGCACTGGGGATTTGCGAGGCTAAAGTACTTAGACTTAAGTACTTGGAGCCAGGCGGGATCCTCGGCATTCACGCCCTCGTCTACAGGCTTGGACCTGGACGACACTATTGTCTGCCACTCAACACCCAACTTTAGAACCTTGTCAACGTCACTCTATCCGGCCACCCTGCCAAAGCTGCGAGGGTTTGATCTGCACCCGTCGAACCAAGACGGTCTTGGCCACACCACAATAAGTTTGCGGATAAGTCAACCCTGGCCTGAGGAATCGGCAGAATACTCCATACATGTGTGCAAGGAGATTTCCCCGTCCTGGGTCATCGGATCTCGACGAATACTCGATCACCCTCACGGCATACATTGGGGCATGCTCCCTTTCTACGGGGTACTCCGTCCAGTTTTCTTGTGCGGCTAGACGAGGTCCTTCCCGCCCTGGCCACCGAGCAAACGAAGGAGAAATGTGACAGAAGACGCGCATCACAGGAGCCCGGTGCATCTTGTGCACCACCAATGTTGATGCCTGCGAGTGTCTCAACCAGATGCAGCACAGGGAGAGTATGCATCTTTTAGCCATTCGGCTCAGTCCTGGAGCCAACAAGGCCAAAGCCCGACCTGGCAAATGCCGACAAGCCTGCTCAACACTAGTGGTCCCTCATCATTACTCAACAAGATGATGGAGGAACTAAGTGCACAATACGGAGTAGTATTATGTACTCGAGTCAGGTTATAGGCTTGTCCCGATGTAATCGTCCCTGAGACCGAGCGGAATGACCCATTTCTGTGTGACAGGGGCCTTCAGACAGGGACTGTAAAGTTTGTGTCCAACGCTGCAGGCATAGATTCCGGACTGTTGGACCCAGTTTGCCAGTCCACCACTCACACACATGGAGAGAGAGGATAGAGAGAAGACTAGGATTCCGTCGGGAGAGGGAGCCATATGCAGGCACCCAATGCGCCCGAATTACTGGGCCTCGCAT